TTCATTTTGAACAGTGTGGTACACAGTACAATTAAAATACTTGTTTCTCATAGACTTGATGAGCACGTTACAAATGGAATAAAATCTCTGTGTATGTATAAACAAGAGTGAATCACATAACTTTTCACACAGCTGTTACAGCAGAAAAAGAAAAACTATAAACAGATATTTCATAGTAACAGCATTAGTCTTCAAATATCTCCAAATGAAACAAAGTATTTGTTATTTTTCACTGACAGCACAAACAAAATGTTAAATAGGCTTGAAGACGCCATAAAGAAATTCCTCTTCTAAACTGGAATGCTCCCTCTATGCTTTACTGTCTGGATTTATTAAATGGATGGAGACAAAGATGAAATTGTTCAGGAACTGAAAATGGACAGCTCAGGAGAGGGAATTTTTATCTATTTCCATTACTCATAGCAAACAAAGTATTAAAATTAGAAATTACAGTGCTACAGGGTAGTTGCCACATATTTTTAAATTATAAAAACTTTCGTTAGGTATTCATTTTTAAACCTAAATGTTTCCTTTTAAAGGCCGTACAAAACACCATGACATACTAAAATTAAACTAATTATAGAATAGCATATTAGGCCCATAGTAGGCACTCAAATATTTACATATGTGATAGATTTTACCACAGTTTGATGAACAGTTTTTATGTAAATTAAAATTGACTCATGAGAACACATATAATTTTGAAAATAATCCTAAAGGGCTCTATAAACTGAAATGACTCTGTAAGAGGAATAAAAAGTACTCAGGGGTAAAATGAGGCAAAGCTGGTCTGAGCACACAAAAAGACCATTAAAACTACACATGGATACACATGTACACACACACCCACATACTCATACCAATGGCAAATAAAGCACGTAGGAATTAGACAATAATTGCTCTGGCCATATGTCAAAATCTCAATTCCTAACAGAACTCTGTGATGATCTTATGAGAGCCACAGCATCTTCCAACACCATTATGCTTGTTCCCAACATAATACCAATGAGTAGTGTGTGGGTTCAATGAAGAAAAGCAATAGTAAAAGTAGCTTTCAGCCCTGTGATAGTTAGGCTTGGTTGCACTTGGAAGACGATATGAGTGGAGTCCAACTGCTCAATCCAGTCATAGTCTCCTTGGAGATGTGGCATATTTATAAGAGATGAAGTGGAGAACTGGCCTCTCTCTTGCCCATTCTGTCTGCTTGCTTAAATACTGCCTCTGCTTTCTGGGGCTAGCAGCCTCCATGTGGCCTGCTGACCCTGGCTGGGAGCAAACCACGTTGCCTCTCAGATCAAATCAACTATCTCTGTCACAGTGCAGGCTTCTTGTCTCCTGTGTCACTTTCCTGGCTCACTGGTCAGCAGCTGTGTGAGTCCAGAAGAGTCTCCTGTAGCATCTGACTCACAGACTTGGGCTGGACTGGGTTAGCTCTCTCTCTGGCTGAGTGGGCCACTTCAGTAATATACGTTTTTCTTGATACAAATTTTTCTCATAGATATGAGCTTCCTGGTTCTGTTTCTCTAAGAAAGCCAGCCTAACATAGCCCTAACTCGAGTGTTAAGGAGCCCAGTGGCACTATGGGTTAAGTATTGGACTAACTGCAAGATAAGCAGTACAAATACAGCAGCTGCTCTGCAGGACAAAGATGGAGCCGTCTGCTATTTTAACAATCTACAGTCTAATCAGATCAGAATCAATTTGATGGCAGCTGGTTTACTTTGGTGGTTATTTTGCATGAGTGTCAGAGACAAGAGTACGCTGCTTCCCTAGGCGTGTTCAGTGGTTATTGTGAGAAAGCAGTACTAAATATTTCACCCAATACCCACCTGTGGAGAAGTGTTTAGAGTGAAGAAGACACTGACAAATACCAATTTCACATAAAACATTAAAATGCAAGAGTGAACCTTGACAGTGGTAGTCCATATTTGCAGAACAAAAGTCTGACAAACTAACTTTGAGACCAGCCAAGTAAAATGCTATGGCCTTGCAGCATTGAGTGTGGGTGGTAGCCTATCAACCAAATTGGTTCTGAAGTCTAGTTTCTCTTAGTATGGTCAATCTTTCATTCAGTCAATACTGATTGAAATCACTGTCGGTTTGTCATACAGTGGTGGCTTCTGTGTTGCTGTTATGCTGGAAGCTCGCTGACCAAATACCAGCTGGGTTAACCAAAGTGAACAGGTTTCAGTGGATCTTCTAAACTAAGAACAGACAATGAAGATGGGCCTCGGCTCCCCACTTTGAAGGAAGCAGCTTATGAAAACCTTATACATAGATCTGAAACACTGTCATATACTGAACATATAATGAATGGAAGCAGAATCATTGGTTGGTTTCGTTTTGTGTTCAATTGTTAGGTTGTTGGGGGTTTTTTTTGGTTGCTGTTGTTCAAAAATTAACGTATATTTTATTCAGAGACCCCTGACAGTACTTTAGAGTATCTGTTAATATGACAGCAGTAACACTGCAGATATTTTGCTAAGTCAAACAAACATTTTATTTTATTTTATTTTTTTTAATATTTTTAACATTTTATTAGGGGCTCATACAACTGTTATCCCAATCCATACACACATCAATTGTGTAAAGCACATTTGTACATCATTTCTCAAAACATTTT